TTTAGGCACTTCTGACAAAGCAGGCTTACCATGAAGTATGCCAGTATTCAGCCTCCCTGTATTCATATTCATTTAGGAAGCGTATCTGACATCTGACTTGTTTAATGTAAGAAGCAGAAAGACTGCATTCAATATACGTTGCACATCTTAAAAAAGCAAGGCCAAGGGAAAACAAGAACTGACTCTTTAAGGTCCAGAAATCACAGAAGACTTTGGGTTTGCCTATTAAAGCAGTTTTTTGCATTTGCTTCCTCCCCTTGCTATAAATAATCAGCCTTTCCAAAACAGAGGTTATGGCAATATTTTTCTTTTTTAATCAGTCTTTTATGTTGCATTGGCTTTTCAGACTGAAATAAGCTTGAAGAACTGTTCTCAGTGGGGGGACTTCAGCCCTCCCTTCTCTATCTCCTCCCTCCCCCCAAACTCCTGGTATTCACACAGCAAAACAAACTATGAAGCTCAAAAACTGATCTAAGCACTAACACTGACCCCTGGTCAGCATGAACGAAGTAAATGAAATTACAGTTGCCTTCTGCTGTAAGAAAAGAAAAACAGCCTGCAGTGTAAAACCATCAATTCACAGCAGGGACTTTAAACACACCAGCAATTGCAACATGTTCAACCTTAGAGCTGTAAAACATATCATCATAGCCAAGATTAGCAAAGGCTGTTCCTCTTGCTGCGTTCTCATGACAGCCGTTTTTTTCTGTCCGAGTCCCTTTTATCTGATTAGATTTTAGCTCCCATTACAGTTAGGACAATTTTGCAATGGAGCAAAATTAATTAGTTTGCATCAAAGAAAGGCGCCTTGAAATGTAACACTAATGAGCTTCATCTGCCTGATTAGAGGGCTTTGCTTTTAGTAACACTTGGTGCAAAATTTTGTTTCCGAGAAATATTATATAACATTATAAGAATATTCAAGGCTAAAAGCATTAGCTGAACAATAACCAGGATAATGGACAAAAGATTAGTGTGGCAAACTGTGAGCAGACACATAACCGTGAATATTGAGAAGAGGATGCAAGTGCAGACCAGAACAGGTTAACAAAGATGCAATGAAGACGCGTGCACCAGCAGAGTGCTGGTGCTATATTTAGTGAACTGCCCAAAACTAAACTGCACATCTATCCACGTTATCTTTTGGAATTAAATGGAAGAGGGCTGAGCAAGGACAGAGTTCTCATTTTTAGAAATGAAAAATGGAATAAAGGTTCATTTTTGGTCAGTCAAACTAATTTTTAATACTTGGCAAACTACTTGCAACAAAGTATTTGTTTATTTTTAAATCTGATTTTTAGGGTTGAGAACAAACTGTTTAATCAATTTTGTTTTTAATTTCATGGAAGAATTGCTCCAGAGGACAATGGGGATTAAATAGATGTGGTTTTTCTTTGATTTGGTATTTACTAAGCTTTTTCACACCGTCCCCTTTCTCTCACTCTATTAATATAAGGATATATAGTCTAGAATGAATGTGCTGGTAGGAAAGTGCCAATCTGCCTGAAAAAAATCACATGCTAAAAGCAGTTATCAGAGATTTGCTGATAAATTGGGCAAAGCACATCATAAACGACGTCTATATAGAAACGTTCCGTGTCATTTGCCCATACTTCCTGCAAACGAAAAACATACGACGTAAGTGCATGTAGTAGAAGAAGGGAAACGTATTTCCCATGATTAAATATTCCTCTATAAGTCTCCTCAGCACATATACAAGACTAGAAGTGAAGACACCTTGTTAGCAGAGTGAAGGCCTAATTTGCTGATCGGAACACCTCCACTTGAGAGAAGGGAGAAAGCCCAAGTTTGGACAAAAACATGCTTTTACACAACGCTCCTTTTGTGGCCACACTCAGACTTCAGGAAATTTTCTAGCCACAAAATCCTGAGCTGAGGGCCAGCTACTGTCCTGCTAGACTGCCAGCTGAAAGGAGAGATAAGCCGGTAAGAGCTTACGGCCTGAGAACACCTTTCATCAGCATCACAGAAAACACTTTAATTGCCTGACTCTCAAAAACACACACCTGAATTCAACCAGACAAATGGTCGAACAGTACAACTGAATGGGCAGTAACTTCTGGTGGCGGGGGAAGACTTAACCCAGGTCTGCTGCTGGCCACACAGGATGGCAAAACCACATCGCAAGGCACTGGGCGGTTAACTGACTTAGGAGGGTTAAATACAAAGCCTTTGGAGTAGCCAAGAACTGAATTCAAATCTTTTATCTCTTCCTTGTGTTTTGATAAGGCTTCCACTCAATTACTACCACTTTTCATCAAAATGATCTTGACCTGTTACAGGCAACACTGAAACTGTGACAGTTTTTTTCCTTTTGCCAACCTATCATGGGGATTTAAATTCAAAAAAATCATTTCAAACACCCGTATGTCCTCTTCCTCTGATCCTATGAACATGCTGCACCTGTGCATAATGTTTCCCCGTTAGCCTTCTGTGACAGGTCAACAAAAAAGACTCCTCCTGTTATTTATAGGCTTTTGGTTATCTCTCAGAAGAAGAAAAAGGGACCAGGGCACGTGTGGGAAAGAAAAAGCTTTGTTTAATTTAATTAAGCTTACTTCTTTCAAGTCTAAATAAACTCTGGATTCGGCAGAACTACTGGTTAATTAAATCACAAAAGCAGTTCCTTTCCCTGTAAGGGCAACCACATCACACTGTGTCACATGCGACATGTTCTTCCACAGAAATTCTCTTGAACGTTACACTGTAAACCTAGAAGAACTCCACCAGGCCAAGGATGCCGCAGTACTCAGAGGTGATCTCCTAACACAGGAGCTAACAGCTGTCGAGCAGCCTCATGATTATTTTCAACATAATTACCCAGTCCGCCGCTTTCGGTGAGAATGTCAACATTTTCATTGTGACCTATGTTTCATTAACCGTGACCATCTTATCTTGTAGTAACACGTACATGGACACCAGGGGGACGGTGGTGACATACAAAAGAGCAATTGGTTCACAATGAGGTCTAACCAAAGCCCATCGAAGCTGACAGGGACGTATCAGAAAGTAGCCAGACTCAGTTATTCCTCCAGGTAAAACAAACAAGGAGCCTCTTTCCACTCCTCTCCCACAAATTACACAGATATTTGAGGGTCAGCTCAAATATCAGTTAGAGAATAATGTTACAGTAACAGATCCGATTCTGATCCCTAAGTTCCTCCCTGGAGAGCACTGTCCATGAGGGAAGCAAGCTGTGCGGGCTCCAAAGTCATCCCGTACCAACGCTATGCAAACACTGCTGGATGCTGTCCTTATCAACCTGCTCCAGAGTTTGCGGAGGTTTCAGAAGCAGAAAGGCTGCAAGAAATTTGCCTCTCCAGGCTACAGCTGGCTGCTCTTGCTGTTTGTCCCTCGTTCTTGTAAACATAAGCGCTACGCAGGAATTCACTCGTGCAACTCCATCCCCACTCAGGTGGCAACTCCATGCCAACATCTCCCACATCTATCTCTTCCCTCCCTTTAGGGGTTGTCAAATCCTCACCAACAGGAAGAAAAGGAAAAGGATAAATCTTCCCTTCATTTGTACTTGGAACTTTCCCACATAAACAGCTCATGTTGCTCAGTGCTGATATGCCCATGGACCCCGAAAGATTTTTGTTGGACCTACATCATTTTGTACCTTACAATTTCCCATGTTTCTTTTGTGCCCTTCCTAAATGTCTCATCTACAGAGCTCACAAGGCTTGAGTCCTTCCTTGCTCTTCCATGCTTTCACCACTCATTTTTCCCTACTCCAGCCTCTTCTACCTACTGTTTCTCCTCCTTCTATTCACCCATTCTAGTGGCCTCATCTCAAATGACAAAAAGGAGTCATTTAGCAATTTTGTTTATTCCCACCTAAGTGGAAGTGTCGCTCCTTCTTTTCTACACTTTTACATCATTAAATCAAAATCTTGACTAACAAGGCTGGCAGGACTCTTGCCTTCTCGCAGTCCTCGTGCCCAGCCTTCCTATCTGACTGATGAGGAAACTCCCAGATGTTGGATATAAGAGTTTGTGCAATACAGAGGATTTTTAATTGGGGGGGAGGGGGGGATTTTGACATCACTGGTTAATTTTAATTTACTACACTAAAATACAACACTGTGGCTATATTGTAGAGCGCGATAAAAGTGTGCATGCATCTTCCTGTGTGCTTCAATATCCTCCTATTGACAGAAGATAGGATGACTGGGCTATGACTGGAGACCAGGAAATGATTTTTGTGATTTCATTAGAGTAATTGACAAAAGTGCTTCCTTTCTATGGAAGGTTAACAGATGGCTTGTTAATGTTACAACTTCTTTAAATAGGGCTGTCACCAAAAACGATGCCCATGACAACAGAAATAATATTGATACAAGCTCATTGCAAAATTAAAACAGAGCTTGTGTAATCTAAAGCACAATGCTGCCATCATTGCAACATGGAAGAGTGTCAAGGTGCGTTTGCATTTCTAATTTCTAGTTCCTGGGAAATTGGATAGAGGGACATCAATTTTTGGAGCGCCAGCAATGTGGGACTTCAGTTATTACAAGCATAAACCTGCAGTCAGTGAGTCACCATGCCTACTCCACGCTCAGTGACATGGATGTAAGAAGGTGTTATACCCAGGCTTGGATTTTAATCCTAATAGTAACAGAATGCATTAAGCATACAGAATTTTTAATCTTGGGTAAATACGCTTTCATATAAAACTGCTGAAGTGATCCAAATTGTAGCTTTGTAGTTGTAGTGATTGCAGTTGTAGTGATTGCTATTCCAGACCGAGCAAGATTTTGTTCTCATCAAATAAAAACAGGCATCATGTGGGCCCCTTCCCCTAGACACCCAACTAGTTAGCAAAATGGAGAGTACGCTGCCTTCTGCCGGGCTCGTTTCAGAGCAATGCACAACATGAGCAGCAACCCTTCCGGGCTCTGCTTTCAGATCTCCCCTCTGGCCAGGTGCAAGGTCGGCGCAAGGCAGGGGCACGCAAAAATCTGAAATTGCCTTACCTCCATCATGAAACAGCTCTGCTCCCTCATGCCTCTGCCAGCCATCTGAACCTGAGGAAACCCAACAGCACTAGTTCACTCACTCGCCATGGTGTTTAGACTTCACCTTAGACAGACTTGTCTCATTTCCACTTGATCAGGAAAAACTACAAAGAACGTTTGACTTTGAAAATAGAAAATATAAACAAATATACACCTAATCAGTATGTGACTGCACATTAGATATTCTATTTGGACAAAATTAATACCCTAACATTCTTACTGATATTTAATGTATTTTTCCTTCAACATTACAACTACTCAGTATTCTTCTCCTTTGCCATAATTCTTCCAGGTTTTTTCCTTTTCTTTCTTTCTCAGGTATCCCTTCTACATCTTTTTTCTTTCTCTGATACTAGTGCCTTAATTCTACAGGCTCTTCACCACATCCTACTTCCATCACCTTTTCAAACAATTTTGTTTGCATTAATATGTGAACAAAATTAAGCTCTCAGACTTTTCTGTTGCCTGTCATTAAGACCTCCAGCTAACTCAGAGTGAGAAAGTGAGCGAGAAGGAACACAACAAAGCTAGCAAGAGAGAGCTAGGAGAGAGCACGAGAAAGAGAGCAAGAGTGAAAAAGCAAGAGAACAAGAGCACAAGACAGAAAGGGCGCAAAAGAGGGCAAAAGAGCAAGCAAGAGCAAGGAAAATCTTTTGTTTTACCACTTTTAGCTTTTTTATAATGCAGGGAGCTGAAATCTGTTCTGGTAAAGAGTAGAGGTAAATTATAGAATTGGGGAGGGAAATAAAATGAGGAATAAGAACAATATTTCCTATTGCAAAACCTCTGTCAACAGCTGTTTGAAATAGCCTGGTTTATTTTACCGACCCTGTGATGTCAGGTTCACTTAGCATATGCCTTGTCAGCTGCGAACTGAGGGCACGCCAACCAGCATCACTGACACATGTGGCCCTGACGCGGGGAGGGAGCACACAGCTGCTCTTGCTGCTCGTTTGCCTTCACCTGAAGGATTTTTGAGAAATTGTATAATATTACAGTAGACCGGTCCATGCCCCAGGTGTAGCAGGTTCCTCCTTTCTCATCGAGTTTGGCAGAGCGTGTTGATTTTATCATCATCTAAAACAAAAAATAAGTAAACAGAGAGCATTAAAAAAAAAGGGGGGGGCTATGTTTACATTTTTGGGGACAGTAAAGGATCTGCTGAGGAAATACTATGGCTAAGACTTTTTGCTCTAGACAAAGAAACACATTTTTAAGTAAAAATACAATGGAGGTGCTGCTGCTTCCATAACTCTAACTCAGTAATAGCCCAAATAATCCAAGGTGAGCGGAAAAGGGCACGGTTTTTCATTAAAAAAAGTAAAGTATCTATATCTTTTCATACCAATGTCACAAGCTATGAAAGTAGTTGACTTGCAAATAAAGATTTAAAATAGTTCGTGTGTTCAGGTTACTTAAAGCGAAAGGTGGTTGCTATAGGTCAATACATATGACATGCAATGTCAGAGAAAAAGGAATCACTACAGCAGTTATAAGAAAATATGAACTAAAAATGTAATGCAGAAAATTAAGAAAGCAGAAGTGACCTGAATATGGAGAAGTGGGGAAGAGAACTTCCCAGGGTATTAAGTTTCATGGTTTAGTGTACCTGAAATTATGGGTCTGTGGCATAAATACTGAGCAAAGCATTAGAATATCAACAACAAATATCTCCTCACATTGTCAGAGGACAGATTAAAAATTCTAATACCGTTGTTTTTCC